GTTGTCCTTCCTGCAACATTCCCGATAGCTGAATGACTTTATTAATCTTCAAGGTGTCATGATTGACGTAATCTGGATAGTAGAATGAATATAGTAAAATTAAGTAAACTTAATGTAGTTGTCCTTCCTGCAACATTCCCGATAGCTGAATGACTATTAATCTTCAAGGTGTCATGATTGACGTAATCTGGATAGTAGAATGAATATTGTAAAACATTACCAAGTTGAACGAACCTTATAAAACTAAAACTTAAAGAAGCGCTGTTCTGTTATGAACATTCTGGATATGTCTCATAAATTCAGCTTGTAGCTTTGTATGTATGTATGAGGTTACAAAGCGATCGGAAGGTCACGTAGGCATGATGGAGCCTTAAGAGTAGGTTTTCAGGGTCTTTGAACCCAAATCTAGCATCTGATTTGGTGTTACTGGGCCCCTCGGGATCCATGTTTGATGCTATGTTTACACCCCCGCTGATACGCCAGTGAGACCAAACATAGCGTAAGTACTCATGTACCATGTACAGGTGTCCAAGCGGGAGTTTTTCGGGTACGGATCCCCTTGGGGTGGCTATAGAAGTAACTGAGGATAATGGAGGATCTTTATCAGTATATTGGAGCCCCTGTATATCTGCTACAGTTATAACACTTAAATAACTTATGTACAACGTTTTCAGGCTTTTAGAATTCGTGATACTTAAATAATCCTTGGTTTACTGTGGCATTCTGGATATTTAGATAAAACTAGTTAAACTAAACAGAATTAGAGAAAACTTTTAGCTAGCAGTAGTTTAAGTAGTCCAATAAACTCATGGTTTTACCACCTAGAGTTACATTAGTTATCTTGCTGTTTGCTGTGGCATTCTGGATATTTGAATGAAACTAGCAGAAGTTTAAGTAGTCCAATAAACTCATGATTTTACCACCTAGAGTTACATTAGTTAATCCTGCTGTTTGCTGTGGCATTTTGGATATTTGGATGAAACTACTTAATTTAAACAGTTAGAGAACACTTCCAACTAGAAGTAGTTTAGGTAGTCCAATAAATTCATGGTTTAACAGTTCGGAGTCAAAGTTGTTATCCTGATGTTATCTATGGCATTCTGGATATTTGGATGAAACTAGCAGAAGTTTAAGTAGTCCCATGAACTCAGAGTTAAAAGAATTGTCCTGCTCTCTTTATTTTGGACGGTTAAATGAATGCATTAAATTTAAATAAACTTAATGAAACATTGCAGATCAAACCAAAAGAAGCTTTCTTGATAGGTGAATCCACAATAGTATAATGAACTGACTTGATGAAATTACTTCATTCGAAGTGTGTTGGATAATCAAATTAGCCTACTAAAGGTGAATATGAGCCCTGAACTTGTTCGCCTCACATCTTTCTCGATATCTGAAAATACCTAATAGAACGATACAGTCGTAAAGACGTTTCATACTCGTAGCATTCTTGACAATCAAGTTTCCATTTTCGAGACCTTACTTAGAGTTTCAATTACCTTACTTCAACAGAATTTGTCCTGCTTCCAGCATTATTGATAGTTAGAATTACCTTGTTCAAACTGAATTGTCCTGCTTCCGGTACTAATGATAGTTTGAATTACCTTGTTCAAACTGAATTGTCCTGCTTCCGGTACTAATGATAGTTTGAATTACCTTGTTCAAACTGAATCGTCCTGCTTCCGGTACTAATGATAGTTTTAAATAGCTCATTTAAACTGAATTTGTCCTGCTTCCAGCATTATTGATAGTTTGAATTACCTTGTTCAAACTGAATTGTCCTGCTTCCGGTACTAATGATAGTTTTAAATAGCTCATTTAAACTGAAGTTGTTCTGCTTCCAGCATTATTGATAGTTTGAATTACCTTGTTCAAACTGAATTGTCCTGCTTCCGGTACTAATGATAGTTTGAATTACCTTGTTCAAACTGAATTGTCCTGCTTCCGGTACTAATGATAGTTTTAAATAGCTCATTTAAACTGAAGTTGTTCTTCTCGCAGCATTACGGTTAATTTGAAGTTACCTTATTTAAATTAAATTTGTACTGTTTCCAGCAGTTTGCATTATATAAAAAAACGTAAAAAAACTGAATAAACATAATGAAATTCTCCTGCTTGCAGCATTCTGGATAGTTGAGGGAAAAAAAAACACAAGCAGTAAAACCGAACAAACTTAATGAAGGTTCACAGTGTTCTGGATAGTTGAGGGAAAAAAACACAAGCAGTAAAAACAAACAAACGTAATGAAGGTTCACAGTGTTTAGGATAGTTGAGAAAAAAGCACAAGCAGTAAAACCGAACCAACTTAATGAAAGTTCACAACATTCTGGATAGTTGAGGGAAAAAACCCAAGTAGTAAAATCGAACAAACCTGATGAAGGTTTACAGTGTTCTGAATAGTTGGAAGCGCATATTTTCTCTGTTTCTTTGCTTCACATAATACTGATGCTCTACGGTGGTCATATTGATTCTGTGCTGATTTTGAACTGACAAGCTAGAGAGAAGGCAGCTAGTCAACAACACTCACCGCCAACTCTAGGTCTATTCTTATCTAACCTAATAATGGGGTATGACAGTTACTTGTATAACGCACCCACGGGCCGAAAGTGTGGATCACGAGTCATGAACCATAAAATGCACTGTCCAAGCACGCTGATCATTAGGTCACGCCAGACCCATAGAATTTAAGAAAGTTCAGTATCAAGGAGAACGAATAGAATTTTAGATTGTTACCGAATTGTATGATATTATAACTAAAAGACAGTGTGAACTCAAAACCATTCCTCTACCCACATTACTATATAGGCTGTGACTTAACGATTTAGTTGCAAAAACTGTGGGATTGGGGTTAATGTTATCCTCCAATTCCATTAAACACTTGTGTCATCCTCACTTTCACAACTTTTGTTTCCCTTATTTTGACCACTTGTGTTATCCTCACTTTCACCACCTTTGTTTCCCTTACTTTGACCACTTGTGTTATCCTCACTTTCACCGTTTGTATCCTCCTCAATTTCAACACTTGTGCCATCTTCACTTTCAACACTTGTGTCATCCTCAATTTTAACATTTGTATCATCCTCACTTTCAACACTTGTGTCATTCTCAGTTTCAACACTTGTACCATCTTCACTTTCAGCACTTGTGTCATCCTCAATTTCAACACTTGTGTCATCCTCAATTTCAACACTTGTGCCATCTTCACTTTCAGCACTTGTGTCATCCTCAATTTCAACAATTGTGCCATCTTCACTTTCAACACTTGTGTCATCCTCAATTTCAACACGTGTGCCATCTTCACTTTCAGCACTTGTGTCATCCTCAATTTCAACACTTGTGTCATCCTCAATTTCAACAATTGTGGCATCTTCACTTTCAACAATTGTGGCATCCTCACTTTCAACACTTGTGGCATCCTCACTTTCAACAATTGTGGCATCCTCACTTTCAACAATTGTGTCATCCTCAATTTCAACACGTGTGCCATCTTCACTTTCAGCACTTGTGTCATCCTCAATTTCAACACTTGTGTCATCCTCACTTTCAACAATTGTGGCATCTTCACATTCAACACTTGTGTCATCCTCACTTTCAACACTTGTGTCATCCTCAATATCAACAATTCTGGCATCTTTACTTTCAACACTTGTGTCATCCTCACTTTCGACACTTATGTCATCCTCAATTTTAACAGTTGTGCCATCCTCACTTTCAACACTTGTGTCATCATCACTTTCAACACTTGTGCCATCTTCACTTTCAACACTTGTGTTATCATCATTTTTACCATGGTGTTATCTTCAGATTTACCATTTGTGCCATCTTCACTTTCAACACTTGTGTTATTCCCACTTTCGTTAAGGTATTATATTCATATCACTAGTATTATTCTAGTATTATCCATGGTGCTATCCTCACTTTCACAAGCTCTGATGTCTTCACTTCCATCATTTGTGTCATCCTCACTTACATCATGGTATTATACCCACTTTCACCACTATCCGTTCTATTCTTCCTTCTGAGCCCTCCTATAGAAAGGTTACAAAATTATGTAGGAAAAGTACGTTAAAACGTAAACATAGTAATTTTGAACCGCCAAGTATTTTTTTTTCATGGAACATTCAACATTTTTCAAAAAACAAAGTTGATTAATTAACAAAATGAGAGTCTTGAAACTCAACGTACAGTTTCTAACTGTTATTTAACACCACTATAAGTTATTCTTAGCTGAGAAGTCTGAAAAGTTTCTCTGAAACACCTTGATCTTCCCTATATAAACCGTTATTAATTTTGCCAATAGGTGCCTTTAGGTACTTATTCATTTGGTGACTAACATTTGTCTTAAGATATTAATAGTAACGCCAGGAAGTCCACATTTACACAAAGAAAACTATAATGTAAATAACGATGTTATCGTAAATATGGATTAGGACAGATAGTCGGCCTCTAATGTAAAAAAATACTCGTTATCACTTAACTAAAATTATGTCCGAAATTTTCACATTGTTATTGAAGTTGTTGTTATTTAGTCATTTGTATACGTAGCTCTTCGATGTATGTTCGAATAGATTTTTGTTCTCAGAACTCACTCTCATTTCGAAATTAAAGAAAACAAACAAACAAACAAAAAACTATTAGTTTGATTACAATACTTTGAGCTGTTAAAGTACACGCAGTTATATGTTTATGATCTAGTCCGTATATGTAGTTATTATATGTTTATGATCTAGTCCGTATATGTAGTTATTATATGTTTATGATCTAGTCCGTATATGTAGCTATTATATGTTTATGATCTAGTCTGTATATTTAGCTATTATATGTTTATGATCTAGTCCGTATATGTAGCTATTATATGTTTATGATCTAGTCTGTATATTTAGCTATTATATGTTTATGATCTACTCCGTATATATAGTTATTATATGTTTATGATCTAGTCCGTATACATAGTTATTATATGTTTGTGATCTAGTCCGTAAATATAGTTGTATGTTTATGATCTAGTCCGTAAATATAGTTATATGTTTATGATCTAGTTGGTATATGTAGTTATTATATGTTTGTGATCTAGTCCGTAATTGTAGTTATATGTTTATGATCTCGTCCGTATATTTAGTTATTATATGTTTATGATCTCGTCCGTATATTTAGTTATTATATGTTTATGATCTAGTCAGTATACTTAGTTATATGTTTGTGATCTAGTCCGTATATGTAGCTATATGTTTGTGATCTAGATCATATATGTAGTTATATGTTTGTGATCTAGTCAGTATACTTAGTTATATGTTTGTGATCTAGTCAGTATACTTAGTTATATGTTTGTGATCTAGTCAGTATACTTAGTTAGATGTTTGTGATCTAGTCAGTATACTTAGTTATATGTTTATGATCGAGCCCTGAAACTCCTATTGTGGTTTTTATTAAAATGTGTACAAACACATCACATTAACCATAAAAACCAGGTACAACAAGATATCGTAACCGTCAATCGCTCTCTTCTAGTTGCTCAAGAACTGTAGATATAGAATTTTCCATCTGAACGGCATCTCATGAATACTGGGGATAGCGTTCCATTTCAGAGATATCTTGAATTCATTTATAGCCGTCCCTAGTTTTGAACACCTGTCTGAAGAGAAAGCAGCCACCCACTAGCACCCGCCATTACCGGTTATTTGGACTGAATAAAGGACTGATAGTCACCTTTATAGTGCGACCAAAGCTGAATGCCCGAAGCATGTTCAGTGTCATAACGTTTCAAACCCCAGACCCTACGATCAGCATTCAAGCATATTAATTCATAAGCTACGCCAGCTTTTATTTTTGGTTTTTACATTTCTTAGCATGATACCTGATATTTAAACTTAACAGCGAAATGGTTGAAATAACCCATCATGTCTCCCTGTTTTTCATACTTCTGTACACTTTGTATGAAATTTGTATTGATAGTTTTCCTATGTGTGTTCGTGTATCATTCAATAAAAATGATAAAATTATAACCAAAACGTTAAATTACATTTATTGGAATTAATATATATATATATTGACTATGTGATAAACCTACCAAGTTATTTGAATTAAATCCTTGAAAAAATATACTATTTGTCATCACATGTGTTCTCTTCACTTTTACTATAGTTTTATTCGCACTTTCCCTATACTGTTAGCCTTACTTTCACCATACTGTTAGCCTTACTTTCACTATACTGTTAGCCTTACTTTCACTATACTGTTAGCCTTACTTTCACCATACTGTTAGCCTTACTTTCACTATACTGTTAGCCTTACTTTCACTATACTGTTAGCCTTACTTTCACCATACTGTTAGCCTTACTTTCACCATACTGTTAGCCTTACTTTCACCATACTGTTAGCCTTACTTTCACTATACTGTTAGCCTTACTTTCACTATACTGTTAGCCTTACTTTCACCACTATCCGTATTATTCTTCCTTCTGAGCCCTCCTATTGAACGGTTACAAAACTATCTATGAAATCTCTAATAGCGGAACAAATATTTACTGATCAGAAACCTCGGGATCGACGGTAATTTATCCAAATAACTGTTGTAGTCTTAACTAGTCTAACATCATTTTAGAAATATGGTCATATTTAGTGGAGAATGTGCGTGAAACATCAATGCAACTTACTTTAAAGACAATTTATTTCTCAAGTTTTTTTTTTACTGTGTTAAGTTTAACGATGGAAGTTTCATGTAACACGATATTAATACATGAATTTCTTAAAACAAGTTATTCTACGAAACAGTAAAACTGATCTTTATATTCAGCTGAGATTAGGAGTATCGAAACTTTGCAATTCCAGCATTCCAATGATTTAAGTTACTGTGAAAGCTGATACCTTTGTTTTTGTGTATTTTATAACACATTTATGATGTTACAGATAGTGCCATTCGATATTTGGAGAATGATAGCTAAAGGTTACGATAAACTGTCGGGTGAGTGATAGACGTCATACAATAGGGCGTCTCGCAGCATGAAGAATAGCTCCACTGTATTTAACAACCAATTGAAAGCTACTAAGAAGGTAATTGCGAAGGTAGAGGCATCTAGTAGCACTCAAATTAAATAAATATTCTGCTGTAAAGTTACACATCCCACCAGTAATAAAAATTCAACGAAAATAAGAGCATTGAAAATGGTCAATAATATTTTTTGGAACCATAAGTAATCCTGGGTTAATAATATATATTAAATACAATAATGTATTGTTTGTTGTTGAGCGCAAAGTTCCACAGGAGACTAGCTTTACTGTGCCCACCGAAGAATCAAACCACGTATTTAAACGTTATAAGCCCTCAAGCTTACTGGTGAACCTTGGGGGTGTACACAGTAATAGCTATTAATACTGGAGCATCTCTCGATGGCTCAGCGGTAAGACTGAGAGCTTATAACTCTAAAAATATGGTTTCGATACTTGTGATTGGCACAGCAAGATAGCCTATTCTGTAGATTTTGGACACTTTAATATAAAAGCGGCAACTATGTGCGTTTGCATGTTTGTGCATATGTTTGTGTAATTAGGAAACATTCCACGTTGACGAGACAGTTTAAAGACACTAAATGTATCAAAAATAATTTAAAAACTTTAAATCAACTCGTTACTTAAAATGTTGAAGGAACTGTAAAACTACTAAGTAGACCTTACTGTAAGTAATACACATCTTGCTGGAAGAAATTCACATAAAGACAGCATAAAAATTTAGTTCGTAATCATCAACAGGCTTCGGAATGAGGCCAGAACAATTAAGTTATAAGCGAAGTCACTTTCAGAAACACAAGCTATGATAATCAGCTCACCTACTATAAAACTGCTCCACGATCCTGAGTGTGTCTATACTGTCTATGCACACAGAATAATATAGTTCTACACATAAATAAACAATCCACCCCTAAACAATATGCAGGAAACACATCCTGTCACATAAATTAAAAGCAGGAAGCTTTTCTTACATTAGTATTCCAATATTTCAAACAAAAAAAAAATCACAAAAGTCTCGTGAAAGGGACTTATCCATACGATGCTCTTATCTATATACATGAAAAGCTATGGATAATTACTAACTTAAATTTTGTATACAATAACGTATTAATCTCTCATCCGTGCTGACGGCGAGTGACGTTTTATTTTGTATAAAGGGAGAAAATATTGCTCGTACTATACTTATCAGTTCTTTACATTTTCACACCACGGCGGCGTGTATAGGAAGGAGGCTTGGGAAGGTTTACCCTCCCCAAATAAACTGTCCCTCACAAGTATGTGTGGAGAAAGTGGGTGTGAAGAGAGAGAGACAGAGAGCGAGCGATCTCTGGGTGTATGTGTATTACTGATGAGAGTATATTTATTTAGGTGCTCGAACTGATTCTTCCCAACAGAATAGCCTACCTAAATAAAAGACTTACGCGCCGCCTATACCATGATGCAATATTCTAAGATGAACAAGTACTGAAAACACAGTTCATTCCGGCTGCTAACTTTACTATGAATTAAAAAGAGGTTTAATTTAGCTTACTTGAAAATACAAATCTAAAAATATAGTTCATTCCGGCTGCTAACTTTACTATGAATTAAAAAAGAGGTTTAATTTAGCTTACTTGAAAATACAAATCTAAAAATATAGTTCATTCCGGCTGCTAACTTTACTATGAATTAAAAAAGAGGTTTAATTTAGCTTACTTGAAAACACAAACTGAAAACATAGTTCATTCCGGCTGCTAACTCTACTATGAATTAAAATGAGGTTTAATTTAGTTTACTTGAAAACACAAAT